ACAAGTTTGAAGATACTAACTGACCCTTGTCTGTCAGTATTTAAACTCCTAGCATTATACTTAAACCCAACAAATCTAACCATGAGCCACAATGCTTGCATAGAATGGTTTAGGATCAGTGCTAAAACTGGAAAACCAGATGAAAGAGTGCTTCTTTGATTTCTGTTTAAGCCAGTGTCAAATCTGGGTGTGGAAATTAGTGAAAGTGCTGATTGTTTTCCACTGTAGATGCAATATAGTAATTTGGAGTGGAAAATTCTAGGATTCTGCCAAATGGGGAAATGAAATAAAAAAGTCAACGGAAAATACTTCCTTCAAACTTACTTTTCAAGAACTACAGAAGGAAATTTCAGGAAATTTGGGGAAAATAGTTTGCCTCAGGAATCTTAAGGCCTTTTTACTTCAACTTAGTTGACAGGTAAAACACATAATTCTCTGGCACCCTATGTGATACTTGGCAAGATTTAACAGCAATTCCTATTCATCACAGCTTCTAAGGGGATGTTTGATGGTTTCTAGTAGGTTGTGGCATGCCTATTGCTCAACGGAAAACTTATTTTTAGTAAAGATTTCAAGCGGGAAGTCATATTTCTCATCGAGAGGTATTTAAGATGCTCCTCCCAAGGCCAGGATGCTGACATAATTCTGATTAGTCTAAAGGAGACACATCCACAAACTTCCTAAACAGCATGTACTAACACTGAAGACTCAGGTTGGAGAGACAGGTAACTACAATGCCCTACAGCCTTTCTGAGAGATTAGTAGTAAGACAGGTGGCTAGCAAACAAATGCATCTATGGAAGCTGGCAGTAGACTTGTTACTTAAAGGCTGTACTTGAACTCAGCAAACAATAAACCATTTGCTAAGTGTACACAAAACACTTGATATGCAAAAAAAGAAAAAAGCAGCACAACACAAGTCAATATGGTGCACAGATGTAAGTATGTTGTGAAATCAAACCATAGTGTGAATTACAACTAATTCCTAGACCACTTTGATTATGGTTGTGACTAGTTTGTAGGAAAGGCCAAACTGGAGATCGGTACAGAAGTTCCTTTATGTGTTGTAGAATTTATTGCACATAGAATATGCACACACTTGCTTATGTATGTATATACAGAAATACTTTGATTTCCAGAGTAGGCCAAATGACATGGATATCATTCCTCATTGAGTTCTAACATATTGGTATTTCTGACTAAACTTGGGACATTGCATACTATCACAAGAATAAAATCATGATTCACAATGTACAAGGGAAACAAGGGAAGGAATGAAGACAGAATAATGCAGGATTTGGGAGGGACACTGATACTTATCTAATGTTCCCCTAGATTGTAAAGCACTTATCACTCTGTTTACTCTAGATGGGATCTATGCGTAATATTGGAGCATACAGAGTTGGAAGGTCAAAAAGAAGAGAAGCCAGTCCCTCTTCTATCTCCATGGACCAAGCAGATGAATCACTTTTATTTCCATATAGGAAAAATCAATTTCATTTGGACACCTATCTCACCATATGTAAGGTTTCAGTTGACTGGGATGACCAATCCTTTGACAGCTGTCATGGTTTCTAATACCTCCAAGCTCCCAGGACAATAGTTGTCAGATAGTAAGTGTTCAGGATATATTTTCGGGTTGGACTTAATTATTTGGTACCAGGGATTGAACTCAGGACCTTATGCTTGCCAGGCAGGAGCTTAAGCTGCTAAGTTATTTCCCAAGACCTTGGATTGGATTTTTTTTTTTTTTTTGAGGGACCGGGGATTGAACTCAGGACCTTGTGCTTGCCAGGCAAGTGCTTATTCTACTGAGCTATCTCCCCAGCCCCTCCTTGGATTGAATTTTTAAAAATGGAATCCCCAAATATCAGCTCCAGAACAGGTCATGAAGGTTGAGCTTGGTTGTCATTGACCTCTTGTGTCAAATCCTGAATTGTCATGTGTAATTTTCATAGCTTACACTAAAAAGGAAGCAGTTATGGCTCATTATCCTAAAATTTAAGAAAAATCTCTACTCTGACCTGTCCCAGCTAGCGGCTTCTCCATTCCTAGGTGGTATCTAATGAAAACTGGTCCTGAAATCTAATCTTCTTGAGATAAATGTGTCATCTTTCTTCCAACAGTATCATAAGGTTAAAATATTTGGGTAAGCTACACCAGAGCCAACACTGGTTAAGGGAAGGAGAAAAAATGATTTCATTCGGGATAATATTCTGTGTGAACAAATATTTACAGAAGTAAGTAAGCAGGAGCAGCTCCATCTAAAACCAGGGAGACAGAAAGCAAACTAGAAAAGAAAAAAGGAAATGTGTTAGCTTTTCAATGGACAATTTAAAATCCTACATTCATGCACAGGCATTCTAACATGATCCAAGAACAAGATTTACAGAATTAAGGCATCATTCTTCTAGAACCAACTTGCTATTCATCCTTGCCTTGGAGCATTTTGGTACAAGCTGTGAAGACATTTATTGTACTGAGAAATCCTTCTCTTTTTTCCATAATTTTATTGAGAAACAAATAGCAATGAGACAGTTTCAAATAAAATTGGTAGGACAGTTTCAATAATTAACACATTGCATACATTCTTCCTAGTGGTTAATTGCTGTACAAGATGGAGAAATCCTTCTTGTGTGATTATCACTTTAGGGATAGTTTAGTGATCAAGAGAAAATACAGTGAAGTTAAAATGGTGATAGCCAACTGGGAAAAATTATTGAAAATAGATTCATACTGAAACAAGCTAACTGAATTAAAAAATAGTTCCCTGGGATTAGATTTTTTTCCACTTCATCATTAAGTGGCCATTCATTCCCTTTTATGCTTTCTCTTTCACACACAAGGATGCTCAATCTTTTTAATTCTTATTTTAGCAAGTTTTGCTTTTCTCTTAGATTAGAAACTTTCTCTACCACAGCTTTCTTTTACCTCCTTTAAGTTCACTCATTTAAGTGAACTTCAATTGACTTATTTTCTGCAGAAAATACAATTCATGTTCTTTTCTAGGATTTCATAACTGAATTAACCTTTACCACATTTCCAGAGAAGGTGGAGAAAACTTTAATTTTTATAGGAATATCTCTTATAAGGTATTTTTCCAATTTAAGGAAATTGAGGATCAGAGAAGTCAAGTAACAGGACTGCAGGCACAGAGCAGGAAAGGGTACAGCACTAGGCATTGCTGTCCGGCCAGTCTGATTTAGAGGCCCAGGCTCTTTTAAGCACATGAGGCTGGCATTCTATTTAAAAAGATAGGAATTCAAGTTAATACATGGACAGATTGAGATACAAAGAACCAGAGAACTTCCTCAATTTTATAGTAAGTCAGCATTTTGGATGCCAGGAACCAAAACCCGTGTTTTTACGTAAGATAGTGTAGGGGGGAGGAAAAATAGCCTTTTATAAAAATTGTATTTGGAGAGGCCAGGGAGATGGCTCAGTAGAATAAGCACTTCCCTGGCAAGCGCAAGGGCCTGAGTTCAATTGCCGGTTCCAAAAACAACAAAAAACTGTTTCGTACAAGGTCTCACTCCACAGCTCAGACTCATAGTCATCCCCTGTTTTCAGCCTCCCCAGAGCTGGGATTACAGGTGTGTGCCACCATGCCCAGACTTGGTCCCCATCTCACTGACCCTAAAAATAGCCTTTTATAATAATGTTATTTCTATTTGATGTCAGCATAAGTGCTTCAGAGTTTGAAAAGGTCAAGTATAAGAAAATTGATTATGGGCTACTGGACTCTTTTAGAATATTTTGCTGAGTTTACACACCTATAATATTCAATAACGGAATTTAGAAAAAATGGAGTATACCGATGAATGTCCATTTTGTATCTGTGTATTCAAAGAGGTTGGGATAGATATATAGTTGCATTCTCTTAATGAATAGAATGATTTGTTCTAATGGTGTTTGTAAATAGGATCACAAGTCCGCATCTTGTACAGCAATTAACCACTAAGAAGAATATATGCAGTGTGTTATTTGTTGAAACTGTACTTCCGATTTGATTTGAAACTGTCTAATTGCTATCTGTTTATCAATAAAAGTTTGAAAAAAAAGAAAATTGAGTTCATTGTATTTATAAATTTTTATTAAAACCTAGTAAAACAGTTGTCTTTTTTCTTGAGACTATCACAGAATAAATAAATACGTTTTATATGCTACAAATTGATGCAGTTTTTTTCTTTTCTTTTTTTTGAGACAGTCTCCCTAAGTAGTCCAGCCTGACCTTGAACACATTACATAGTCCAGGCTGCCTTCAAACTCACAGTGATCTCTTCTGCCTTAGTTGGTCCCAACTGGCCACCACACCTGGATGAAGTTTTTTTAATCACAGATTTGATTTGATTATTTCAACTTTATTGTTGTCAGTGTTTTGTTTTTGAGACAGGTTTCACTGTGTCGCCCACGCTGGCCTTGAACTCAGGGTGATCCTCCTGCCTCCGCTTCCTGAATGCTGAGGTTGCAGGCATGCTTCTCCTTGTCTGGTTCTTTCATGTGCACTGAAGTACACATGACAAATAACAACTGTACACAGATAATGTTTACAGCATGATGACTTCATTAACACTAATTTTGAAGTGATTGGGCTTAACTTCCCCTGCTCCCCAACACCCTCCATGACACATGCATGACATCTGGAGTCTCATACAGCTTAATTTCAAACATTACTTCTCCTTATGAAAATCATTCAGAGCGCTTTCATAGATGGGCACTGATCATCTTGTTCTCCTTAGGGCTCACTGTTTGCATGAACTCTACTTCCTCTTTTTTTAGGGAAGAGTTTTTTCCTTTTGAACTTCCCTTGTATTGGCTTTTTTTTTTTCCACCCTCTCCTGTGTTTGTGTTGGCTTTATGCCTTCCATTCCTTTTGAAATTTGGCCCTGTGCCGTGTGCGAGTCAGCACTTAGCCTGGAAGTATCGTTTTCAAACAGTGTCTGAAAGAAAACTCCGCCTTTCACACCCACTACTAATTACCATACTACGCACTACAAAACATGACATTGCATCGTTCACCCATCACTTGTGAATATCTGCTGTCCGCAGCCAACTCTCACCTCTTCAGAGAAAATGAGTTTGAGCCACATAGAGACTGTGTCCCTGAGCCACTCAAGTCCTCAAGATAGACAGAGATCATCCTGGAAGCCGTGGTTGTGCTCAGCAATAGCTCTTTTGTTTTTCTTCAGTACACTAATTGTTACTTTATCCCCACTCAAGGTAAGGAGATAGCAGAACCTCAGGTTGTGATTTATTATACTGTTTTGCTTGCTAGTCTGATTATTATGATTGTCACTCAGTGCTGTTTGAGAGAGTTGGAAGAGACCTGTGAGTACAAATAATGTAAAAATAATTTTGTTCTTGTCAGGACATGACTTTTGAAGCTATTTACGTGTTCTGAGATAAGAATATATTAGAAAGTGTTAAATACTTGTGGCAGAACTGGGCTAAATGGAGAGACTCTCTTGATTAAATCAGTCAGTGGTCAGGTGGCTGGTGTGTCTTTGGACAGGGAAATGGCACTGAGCTAGAAGTAACAAGAGCTGGATTTTAGTTCTGGATCTCCAAATAATGTACAAGCTGGCTTTCAGCTTGGTGGCAAGGGGAATTGACTTGTTCATTAAGATGTGCTTACTAACTCTAAAATATAATAATTGATCACTTGCCCTAAGAATGTATAGAACATAGTATTTAGGAATTTAAAAGTGGGTATAATAACTCTGGGCTAGAGTGATCTAGGAAGGCTTCATGGAGGAAGAAGGAAGCACATGTCTGTTTGGGAAGCCCCTGGTGCTTATCTGGAATTTCCCATTGAGCTCAAGTCCAAGTTATAGGTCTGCAAAATAGGATTATATACTGGGAATGGAGATAGAGTAATTCTCTGCTAGTTTTTCCTCTGTTGACTCCAAAGCACTAACCCAAGAGAAAATAAGAAAAACATTATACAATTTGGGAGTAAACTCACTTCTGAGTCCATCTGAAAAGCAAGTCTTGGGGAGAGTAGCATGGTATATACCATTGTAAGAAAGGGTTGGGATGTGACTGCAGGAATATTTTTCTAAGGGGACTGACGAAGGAAGATTTCAAATATGCAGATCTATCAATTAAGATATTGAAAAGCAATCAAGAAAATATGCAGGTGCATACTAGTTTAGTTAGGATAAGTATGCTGTTGGTCAAATTGTACACAGTAATCTACTAATTTGTAACCCCTAAGTGTAAACAAGAGTTTGAAACAGGCATTTCTAATCCTGGTCTGCTCTTTGAAGACCAGAAGTATGAACTTTCTGGAGCAGTGAAATTTGAGTAGAAAGAAAAGAATGTTAGAATTTCTGAGTGGTTAAAGTTTTGGAGAGGAAGGTTGAAAATAGCAATAACAGATGTGCAAGTGTCTTTTCCTTAAAAAAACAAAAACAAAACAAAACCTTGTTTCTTTTGCTCTGAAGAGCATCACATACAGATATCAGTAGCTCCTTCATGTGACTAGATGAGGAGGGAAACGCCTTTCTCAATGGTACCTCTTGCCAGAATCGAACTTGGTTAACCCACATTTGGAGCTGTCATTCTGTATTCTCTTTCCTAAAAAGCATGCAGCTTTTCAATGAAAAGTCCTGCCTCCATAGACAGCATGTATGCTCAATTTAGCACCAAAAGGTAGCTTGGATATTTTCCTCACAGGATGCTTGGGAGATTAGTTCCCATGGGAAACTCAAAGACATACCTGACAGTGCAATGACATTAGCCCATGCTTTCCACTTTGCCCTGGCCTGCACTTCCCTTTCCATACTGGCCGCAAATAAATATCTTCACAAAAAAAGATTTGAGTGGTTGGTGAATGGTGATTCATTATGCAATAGCCACTTCCGCCTTCTCAATATATTCACAAATCTGGAAGCTTTGTTTCATTTTGTTCTCCACTCTAGTCTTCACTTACAAAGCCCTACTTTCTAGATGCTCTAGATACTAATTGGAGAAGTCTTAGATTGGAAGCTTAGCTCCTTTTAGAAGAACAAAAATTTCTTTGGAAAAGTATTTTTTTCTCTTCCTCTGGAAGATATTTAACCCAAAGGACAGACTTTGGGCTCAGGAAATTCAGTCAATCCCTAAGTGAAAATAACTTTGTAGAAGTTGTCACTAAGAAACAAAATGTTTAGGAGATTCCACTGCTTCAGTGAACAGAAGGATGCTTTCAGAAGTGGAAGCTGTACTTGCACTTAAAACCAGAGTAAATCTTCTTTCTAGTGATGATCTAATTAAGGCTGGGTTTAAAGAAATAATTACTAAATTTGGCCATTGTGAGCCCAAATGTGATGCCAAAGTGAGGTTATCAAAGGCTTAAACCAAAGTGAAGTTACACGGACAACTGTTTTTTCTAAACTAAACTAAACTAAACTAAACTAAACTAAACTGAACTAAACTGAACTGAACTGAACTAAACTAAACTAAACTAAACTAAACTAAACTAAACTAAACTAAACTAAACTAAACTAAACAACTAGTGAAAGTCCAATGTGTTTCTTTATCAGTGAGTATTTATTCCTTCCAACTATCACCAAAATTATACATGGAAATTTCTTCCCTGAGAGGTGGAGGTTGGAGTTTTGAGTATGACAGGCTGAGTTTGGACCTGAGCCTTGGCTCTTCTCAGCTACTTAACTTGGGTTGATTACTCAATCCTTCTCATGCTCATTTCCTCATTTTCAGGATGAACATGCTAATTCCTAACTGTTGTCTTTAGAACCAGCGAGACAGTACAGTGCCCGACACACTAGACTATTTGTAGACTTTTGTAGATGGTAGTGCTTCATGTTTGTACCATTTATTATTAATGAGATGACAAGAAGTGCACATTTAACATGACTTTGCAACAGTACGGATTTTCATTGCCAATTTATATTCCTTCTCAACCAACGATCAGGTCTCTCAGTCAAATTGTTATTTTTTCAGACTTTCACGTATGACAATAATTACACAACCTGTAGAACCACAGCTCTACAAAGACATGAGAGCAGCCTGGGATGCAGCATCTGGAATTTCTGGTTCTAGCAACTAATTTGTCTATGTACTCCATTTCTCTATGTACTCCATATATCTGCTAGTATCTGGCAAACTATCTATGGAATATATTTGGTGCTCATTTATATTTAAATTGTTACCTAATTGCTTCATAAATGTAAACATGTCTTTTAAAAAGATTTCAAATTTCTTCAGAGGCAACAATCACTCATTAAATTTGTCTTCTTTGCTTACAGGGCTAGTATTGCATTGGGATATAGATTCAGTTCCTCATTATGATTAGTGTCAGTGCCAAAACAGTGAATATTTATTAAGCAGGCTCAGACAGGATATCTTGGAAGGCCCTTTGCAGCAAAAACAATCTCATTAACAGTCACAAGCTTCCATGAGAGCTTTGTACTATTAGTACCCCCATTTTATAGGTAAAGACTTGGGGCTAAGGGTGTATGTGTAGGGCTGTGGATATTGGTAGGTGGTGGGCTGTGGATGCTAGGTGGGTGGGATGCTTGTCTAATATCTCTGCTAGGCCCTGGGTTTCATTCTCAGTCTGGCGGGGTGAGGGGTTCTCATTATATTCTCATTACCTCCTGACCAGGGATGGGATGAATTTCAACATCTCTGCTAAGAATACCCAAACAAGAATGAAATAATTGCAAGAACAGAATCCAATGCCAGGAAATCCAGTGATTCCAGTGAATCCAGTGATTTCTTTTCTTAAAATTGTGACTTCCAGACTTTTTTGGATTGTACCTCCATCTCAATAAAACGTTTTCATTATAATTTCTAGCATATGTATGGTGATTATTATGTTATATACAAGTATTAATACTGTACACTAAACAGATACTGTACATAAAATGAAAGTCCATATGGATAAACCAGAGAGTGTTTGATATACTTTTTCAGAGGAAAGCCAGTTTGCTTTTAGCAACATGTTTTATGTTCTATAACACATTAATACTTAATATAAAGATGCCAAAATCATTGAAATAATGTTTTAGTAATTTGATAAATGTGCTATTTTATTTGCTTAGTTAAACATTTTGTGATACAGCGATGTGAAATCTATATGCTAAATTGCTTTAACTTACTATACAAAGAGATATAGATCAAAATGATGGAATGCATATTTTATGTTTGCAAAATATAACAGTATTCAATCCATCATTTGATCATGTGACATTTTTCATTAAATTAACATTGTCCCTTACACTGTATATCTTTTCCTCCTCACACATTGAAATTCCAGTCTGTAATTATGGCCTCTCCCTTGCATAAGCTCTCTGCTTACTTGCTTTCCTCTTTGGTGTATTTTTGTAGCACAATCCCACCTATTGAAAACCTCTAACACTGATTACCAGCAATTGTTCCATTTTTCTGAAGAAGCATGCAAGAGCTTTCTGAAAGGTTTTAACATTAAACATATGACTCCTTCAGTGTAGGACCTTTAATGCTGCTCCCAATCCTTTTATTCTCCTCCCAATCCCTTCATTCTCCTCTCCTGGAATATTTCACACTTTGGTTCCTCATTGAATATCTTATATTTTTCCTCATTCTCATTATTAATGGGTAGATTTGCCTTCAGGTATCCAGAAAAAGATAGAAGCAGGGGAGAAAAGAGATCCAAAGTCTCCATATTTACCACTTGCTTGAGACTGTGTTCATATGTGTGTGCATTTTCTCCTGCTTCTGTATGAACTGTCCATGCATCTACCATGGCAACCTACACAGTAGACACTATCCTCTCTTACCTATTCAAAGATATTGTTCCTATGAATCTCTTCCATCCTTTATATATCACTCCTTCTCCATTTCACTGAAATGGTCCTACTATTTCTCTTACATTAAAATGAAACAGAACCAAAATAAACAACCTCTTTGACCTCCCAGGTCTAGCCAGGTTCTATTTATTTTTTCTACTTTGGCTAAAGCAAAATTCTTCCAGTTTCTCTTGCTCCATTTACCACCAAATGCATTCTAATTAAATATCTACCTTATTATTACATCATAGAAACTGTTTCTATGAAGAACTCCATTGTATACCATATTGATAAATCCACCAATCAATTCACTGTTTTCTTTTTTGTTGATTTACCATTAGCATTTGACTCCAGCAGATCATTCCTCTTCCCAAAATACTTTCTGTCTTTGCTTTCCAGATACCACAGTCTCCTAGTTTCTTTCAAAGTCACTGGTCTTTCCTTTCCCTTTTGTTTTCAGTACTAGGAATCAAACTTGGGACCTTGCACTTGCCAGGCAGGCGCTTGTACCACTGAACTATATCCCCAGCCCTAGCCTTTCTTTCTTTCTCTTTAAATTCTTTCTCATTCACTATAATCTAAATATTGCAGTACCCCAGTATTTATCTCTGCCTCCACTCCCTGAATTAATAGTCTCATAGAACTTCACGGCTTAAAGCCATGACCTAAAACTGGTTAAATTTGTATCAAGACCTCCTTAAATTCCAGTTTCATATAGGTAACTGCCTATGGGACTCCCTTACTTGAATAGCCAATCATCACATTGTGTCTAAAACCAACCTCATTGTTCTCTTCACAATCTGTCCTGCTTTAAATCTTGCTAGTTCAGTGATTTGCAGCCTGCTCTTTCCAATCCTTGTAGCCCACATCTTGAGACCATCTTTGTCACTTCTCATTCTCTCACCTCAGAATCATGTCAGAAAGTGCAGGAGGCCTGGGCATACAAACGCTCGTCACCACTTCCACTTCTAGCACCTTGGTCAGAGGGATCAAGTTCTCTTGCCTAAAAGATTATGACAATCTTGTGTTTTACCTCATTGCATTTGACATTGCCTCATTTATTTATAGCACAGCAGTGAGAGAGATCTTGAAAATATGCAAATCTGGAAGTTAAAAAAACATCTTTTTGCTACAAGGAAACCAATGAACTTCGAGTACAACTTTTTTTTTTTTTTTTGTGGTTAGGTCTTATCTTACCAAAAAGTGTTTTGGAGCTTTTAGTATTGAAAATACTTGTATTTGTAAAATTAACCACAATAGATGGTATCTTTTACCATGTACACTATAGTATGTTTCAGCAGTTTGAAACCCTCAGATCTGTTTCTGAAGGTATCTCAGTTGCTGTATATGACAGGTGATTACCTGAATATTAACTAAGAATATTAAGTAAGGATGGCTATCAACCTGAATTGCCAAGATATATAGGGCTCAATTTCTTTTTCTTTTCTTTTATTTTATTTTTTGTATCTTAGGGAAGGGTCTACAGGATGTTCAGGGTCTCACTACCAGATCAGACTCATAGTTATCCTCCTGTTTACTGCCTCTTAAGAGCTGAGATTACAGATGCGCACCACCATGCCCAGTCTTAAGTGTTGTCTCAGTGTGTCCCATGGGAGGGGCCTGCACAGCAGACCCTGGGATCAAACCCCTGACCTCTGTGCCTGCTTGCAGGTGCTTTAATCTGCTGAACTATTTGGCTGGCCCTTCTTTTTATCTTATGTAAAGACGAACATAAATAGAAGCTCCATTATTTTCTTCCCATATGTCCATAGATCACTCTGTGGTTCACTAGGGTGTAGTTCCTCAGACTGCTTTGACAGAAAATTGCAGTCAAGAGGCAGAGGACCATGATCCAACATTTGTCCTGTGGCTTTAGGGAAGGTAAATGAAATGAGAACCTAGCTTTGGAAAAAGAACCAAAAGGACATCTAGGTAATAAAAAGTAGCTAGCCTTCTGCAAAGGGAAGCTGAGAGTGGAATACAGGGTAGGCGGAGTAATCCTTTCTTATGATTATGGCATAGTAGTTTGATTCAGGAATGTAATAATGTAAATAAATCAATCAAGAGAGTAGCATTACTGTCATTATGCTGACCAAATTCTTCTTTTTCTTTCACAGCGGAATGCTAAAGAGTTCTGCATAGCTAAGTTTGGTGAGTATCCTTTTTTACTTTTCTCAGTTTTTGGTATAATAGGGGAGGTGTCAGTACTCACAAGAAGGCCTCTGTTTTCTCTTTTGTTCATTTTTTTGGTACTATTTAGAATTATTTATCATTTGCTGAGCAGCAGCCTAGGAGCAGAAACTTCTGGAGGTGAACCAGAGTGATGAGCTCATGCCCTGAGGAAGCTCATTTCAGCTCACATGTCTGGGCAGGAAAGAACATTACATTGAAAAGCTTGCAAATTGGAGATACAGGAATCAATTTCTATGCTTCACAGAGAAAAAGTTTCATATACCTACAGTGTTTCTTCAAAGTACAGTTCACATACTGCTAATATCCATTAAAACATGTGAGGGACACGAGGAAAACAATAGTATTATTAGGAAATGTAGAGAAGAGAAATGAAAGTTAGGAATGGTCATTTCCTCTGCTCATTTCTCTTCTTGTTCTTCTCCTACTTCCTGAGTCACTTTCCTTTACAGTCAGTAGATATTCAAAACTACATTGCAGTTTATAGTATACTGAGTCTTGGAGTACGTCTTACAATATATGCAATACTTTAAGTGAGTGAATTTTGGTTGTTTGTAGGCTTCAGGACAAACAAATGCATATTTTTCACCAGAGAGCACAACATTAGAATTAACTACAAACTCTGCAACCATTGTGTTCCTATATAATTTAGATTGCTAGGTTTCCATGGCTTGCGGGGATTAAGAATTTTTTTTATTTGTCCCCACCTTTGTATTTCATTTGAGTTTTTTTTTTCATTGAAAAGACTAGAACTAAAGGTATTCCTTATTTGCTCACTGATGTAGTAAAAATTGAGAAACTCAGTAGATGAGTTATCTTTAACTGACCCCATCACAAAATTAAATAGGAGAAACAGTAATAGTTTTTCTTGGTGAATCGCCTATTATATGTCAAGGAAGAAATTTACTGGATACTGTGCTCACTGGAGATATAAGAGGGCATATTTCCTGCTTCAGTCTCCTAAGAAACAACTTTCCAAGTTTTATATCAGTAATTTAAATATTAATGAGAATTTGAGTTTCAGTGTTACTTCTTTTAGGGCTCTTTTTTTTACCCTTGCCACCACAATTACGCAGAATAAGAGAACAACCTAGATCAATATTTTGGATGGCGAAAGCATATCCCAGGGCCCTGAAATCATACAACTCTCCCAAATCACTTAACATTAGGTGAATATTTATATGGCTTATGTACCTTTGGAAATGAATGATAAGGTCTTGACACTTTATGATGACATTAAAGTAGGAATACTTTATTTACATAGTCAAGGGATATCTATTTATAAACTCATGAATTGACCATTATTTTTGGAAAGTTTGGATGATGACATCTGAAGTGGATTCTGAATGGTATATGCATATAAACTGATTTAAAAAATCCATCATTTAGACACAAAGTACCTAATTCAGGAATGTGGTGACTCCTCCCAGTCTTCTCAACAATGAAACAAGGTGCAGAAACTTTTTTGGGTGTTTAAAATACAGCAATGAGCCAACTACAGATGTTCTCAAAGATGTTATATTCAAGTGGATGAAAGAGAAACAATAAAATAATGAACAAATTATAATATGCTAAATGCTTATTTCTGCTTTAAAAAAACTAGTAAAGAGGATAACAGGAGGCACTATTCTATATGAATTGATTAGGGGAAGTGTTACCTTGATACACAGCAGACTATTTAGACATCAAATCATGGAAAATCATTGGTTGCCAACTCTAGTTGTCACAATCCTGGTATGTATTTCCTTTCTCCTTTTCTCTCTTCTTCTTTCCACAAGTATTAGTTAGCAAGAGATGCAGAGCCACTTAAATCTATTTCTATTCCCACACCATTTATTTAGCAGTCTCCTACCAAGAGATTAATCTAACACAAGGATAGCACTAAAAATATTGCAATAGTGGCTAAGAAAAATAGCATAAACCAGGTAAGTCTGAGAGAATTTGCTAAAATGAGAAAAAGGATAAAATAATAAACATGATTTGCATTTTTTCTCCCCTGTAAATTTCCTATAGGACCTCTACCCTCAAAATGGCAAATGGCATCACCTGAACCACCTTGTGTGGTTAAGATTTCTGACTGGGAGCTGAAGATACTTCAGAATGGCTTTTACTTAACTTACGGCCAAGTAGCTTTCAATAGAACCTATAAGGGAGCAGCTCCTTTTGAAGTGTGGCTACGGAAGAATAAAAAACTTATGCAAGTTCTGACAAACAACTCTCAAATAGAAACGTTCGGATGGATTTATGATTTACATGCTGGAGAAACAATTGACTTGACATTCAACGATGAAAACCAGGTCCTCAAAAATAATACATACTGGGTGCTTGCTTTAATACCAAATCATCCATTCATCTCCTAGCACTTTGATTTGGTCTTTTCATTTTCTTCAGCATATGCAGTGGTGCTTGTCAGGACTTCGAGGGGGCAGATTGTCAGTGCTAATAGTTTGCGTATACTGTACACATCAACACAAACAGAATTCCTCTGCTCGTGAGACTTTCCTTCATGCTTTCTAGGAAGAGACTCAAAGAAAGTGCCAAAGGCTTTTGGTTATCTGAGGTAGTGTCTGTAAAGATACTTTAGTAATCCAACATAAAACGAATGAGAGTGGAAGAGAACAGGAAATCCTCAAAGATTCTTTGTATGAGCTTTGAATCTCTAAGTAGAAAAATGAAGTCTTATTTCCACAGGCACCTAAACTGGTTTGCACAAAAGAGAAGGTGGTAGACTGTCCTTCTTCTCATTTCCTTCAGCTGCTTTACTTTATTCTTCAATAATCCCATTTTCCATCCTCTGAGACCCTCTTAGTATGGTCAGACTCCTGAGGTGGCCACAGATATGCCAACAGCACCTTACTTCAGGTGTTTTCCTGTAAAGAGGATGGAGAGCACTCTGAGAATCACTGGGAATCATACCCAGGTGCAAGGTATTTTATTAAAGACTCGGTCAAAGGAATCACTCTGAATCTTTAGCCATGGGTTCACTCTCTGTGTCTCTGAACACTGCCAATGATGAACTAAGTTACCACTAGTAATCATTACAGCTAAACTCAGAAATTGACCTTAGTATTGGTACGTTATGTTATTTGATGATTTCATATTTTTAGCAGGCTTTTCTCAGTTTCTGAAGTGTGTTCTCATATCACATGACAACTTCCTGCAGGCGGGAGGTATTTTTGGCAAAATTTTAGTAGTGAGAATATAGATGCTGATGGAATGGATAGATATCTTGACTCACTGAGGAGATGGGCTTTTTTGCTGTTACATATTTATACTGTCTCCGCTTTATAATTGGTATTTATGCTGTCATGTTTTACAACAATAAAATTTAGCAACTTCAGTTTTCAGGAGATGGATCCCCCTTTAGCCCAAGGTGGGTGAAGTGAAGTTAAAATAGATTTTCCTTTACTATAAATCTTATTTTCCCTGCTCTGCCTGGATCAGGGAATTCCAGGATGCTGCTCAGGACTTGCTCCAACCAAATCCCTTTTCTCACATTAAAGACGATATCTCAATTAAATGTGTTAACCTGCAAAAATAGTAAATAATACTCAATTCAAAAATTTTGACAGTTAAATTAGGTATTTATATAGTCTTGTTGAAAGGTCTGTAATCAATGTAAATTTGAATCAATTAAAAAATTTCATGGACAATAGTGAAACCTCATATTATGTTAATTAATGTAATTATAAAGCTAACTTAAAATATTTTTATTGCATACAATAAAATTTACTCAAGTCAGGCTAACCTTTTTTTTTTCTTTTAAAATCTGTTGAGTAGCTGTATAGCTACGGATCCAATCATTTGTATACAAGTATTTTTATATTTGCATATCTTTTTGGGAAATTAAATTGTGTCACATGTATTTATAGAGACTTGTTAGCATAGTTTTTTGTTGTGTTATAAGCAGTAATATGCTGGAGTGGGCTAGAAATAACTTATATAAGCCAATGGCTAAATTTTCAGGGATTGAATGTGCTAGTTATTGCACATAGTCACCACTGAACTCGACCAGGGTGGGAGTATTTACACTGTGGATATTGATGTGAACAGCACATGACAAAGACTACAAATCAGAGCTTTTCTTTTGGACAGCTGATTGACTAGCACACCACTGTTTATAAAATTCTCCTAATTCAACTCCTCTCTCTTCTTGCATTGCTCCTGTGATGATCAAGGTAGGCAAAGAGAGACAGTGAAGTTACCATACTCACAGCCCATGCCCACCATAGTGTGGCTTCTCAGGGCAAGCAAAGAATTTTGCACTGTAGGCAGAGGGATGGCTACTGGCAGAAGTTATCAAAATGTCATTGGTGTTACAATTCCAGCCCTTGTTTACATTATGTGCACTGTTTTATCATTTGTATTTTCAAAGTATAATAAAAATATATTAATACTTGGACTGTAATTGATTCATCCTTGGGCTTTCAAACTACACATACTGATGTGAATAAGCCAGCTACATCAGAGAAATACTTGGGTATAGAAACATGGTGTGGCAAGTGCTAGGCACAAATGCGAGCTGGGTGCGAATCTCTCTCTGCCACAGCTGCCCTCATTGCTCAAGAGTGAGACAGTTCCTGACTTCCACCAGCCTGTCCCTCCACCCTGCCTATTCTTATTCTCAAAGCCATTTCTGACTTAGATTATTTTCCCTTCTGTTTTGCCTCATCAAAACTGATCAAGCACAGGATAGTACCAAGGATTCAGCATCTGAAGTGGGCAGTTAACTCACAATTGATATCATCTTGGGTGCTTGGCAGGGCAGAATCCTGAGATGAGCAGCTCCAGATTGCATCACGGAGTTGCAATTGTGACCTTTGTGTTCTCTTCCAATGAAGCAATTTCATGTAGCAGAAGGGCATTTTTTAATAGAGAAGAAAACCAAAACTATGATGAACCGATGAGTGAGCAGTCTGAGAATGGCTTCGAAGTAGAAACTATAAATGATGCCTAAAGCATGCACATTCTTGGACTTAAAAATATGCACATCTCTTCCAGGGTTAACTTGAGACTCCACGATAATCACTCTCTTGTAAGTCCCTTTCTATTTCCTGGAGAAGTACATGCGTACTTTGCCTTGAAAATTAAGAGAATAGAAGCCCACTTCAATATATCAAGAGTCTCCTGCTCCAACAACAAGTTGTAAGTCAGTCTCTTCTTTTTGACAGATTTCTTAAGTGAGATCCGACTAGCGCACTGCTAGTTTTAGCTTTTTCAGGCAGGACCCATGTACCAATTCTTTGTATATCCTAATGTCAAGACATATTCCAAAGGTTCCCGTGAGGCTTGCTTGAAACATCCTGATCAGCCTTAAGTGTAGAGAGGTCCATTGCTACCTACTTTTCCTGTAAAAGGAGTGGTGAATGGCTCACAGATGGCTACAGTTCTCTGTGAATGTTGTCATCAGTCTCAAAGGCTTCTGAATCTGCCTCATTTTATATTCCTGATCCTGCTGAAGCATCAGAAAGTGGGAAAGAGAAAGAGGTGACTTTTGTTTCTTTTATTCTGCATATTTCAGGGGAAAGAATTATCTTCATTTCACTTTGGTATCTGCATTCATACTTTCCCAGGTAAAATGGAGTCAGGAAACATTCTACTGTTTAACACTTATTTTTGCTCTTACGTGTCTAAAAGGTCCTGAGTTTGACCCCCAGTACAAAAAAAACAAAACAAAACAAAAAAAAAACAAAAAAAAAAAAAGAAAAGAAAAAAACAAAAACAAAGGGAAAACAAGAGCACCACAAGCACGTGGTCACTTTGGGCTCCTTATGCCTTTCACTGCCAGATCAATGGGAATAACAATATTGGCTGTTGATGTAGATCTTTAAGTGGAAATTACTACTGCTCAACAGTGAAGACAAGGAAGAGTATACTGGAGGGCAGAATATCCCTTAAGGTATCTCTTAGTATTCCATGATTTTGGTTAAGTTCAGTGGATCATTACAACAATTCAGTGATGGAAAACTACACATGCCCAAGACCGTTCAGCAATGAAGTTTTGGTCCTCTCATTAGTCAACCAAGAACAGCTGCAATACTTGCTAAGGGCAGGGGAGTATAGAATGGATAGCAGAAGAAGATAGAAATAGCAGCTAGGACCATCTGATTAGTTCCAGAGCTTAAAACTAATTATCATGACCATTTCTCTTTTTTTGGTACTGGGAATTGAACTCACGACCTCATGCTTGCTAGGCAGGCACTGTGTTGCTGAGCTATAGCCCCAGCCCAAATCTTTCATTTTATTTTGTTATGAATACCTTAATGGTTGTATATATTCATATAGTAAGCCAGTGTCCCTGATTATGTACCACAAAATTCACTGACTTAGGTTTCATAGTATTTAAGTATTGTTAATTGTACATTTAGTATTTAAGTTATGGGCCATTCTGAGAAGAATAAACATCACCCAGGACTTCACTTCGTCTTTTGAGGAAGGCATCAATGTTTGGACACAGTATATAGTTGCATCATGTTAAGCAGAATTATGACCTTGCTACTGACTTTACTAGGAGATTAAATATGATTCAAGGAAATACCTATGGGTGCCAACTTGAAAAAGCATAGACTTGGGATGATTTATTTAATGTATCAATTTTAATTTTCAATGAACTAAGGATGTCTAGAGAGTGGGTAATGTTTGGATATTTCTGTATGGGTATTGCTGGAAGCTAGTGGCATTTAAACGAATAGACTGAGTAAAAAAAGTATCTGCCCTCACCAACGTGACTGGGCATCATCTAAACTTGAGGTCCTGATTAGAATTTAAAAAAAAAATGAGGAAGAGTAAATTCATTTTCTCTCTTTGTGAGTTGGAACATGTAACTTCTCTTGTCTTTGACTATTAGAACATAAGATAATGGAGCCTTTTGATTTCAGAACTTATACCAGTGTCCCTACCCCAGCCCTGGTTCTCAGGTTTCTGGATTTAGTCAAAGTTATACCAATTCTCTAGTTCACCACTGAATGGGTTGGCCTCCATCATGTTGTGATCAAATTTCCATGGTAAATCTCCTCCTAAATTGCATAGCACCTTTAAAAGCATCTCTATTCTACCTTTATCTCTATCTATCAGCTTATCTTATTTGGTTACTGGATGACTCTGACTACAGAGTTAGAACTCAGGAAGAGTTTCATGTGACAGAATAAATGGCAAGAATAGTCTTTGGAGGAAACTCACTAATGCAGATGAAATCCTTGTAGAGAGGATGTCAAGTGAAAATGACTGACACTTGGATAGTACCAACATTTGAGGGCAAGTAGAAAAGAGAATTACATAAAGGAGACACCAGAGACAAATGAGATCAATTGGAAGAGAATGAGCTGAAAGATATTGGCAGTGAGAGATTAAGAATGAGGAGGCTGTCAAAAAATGTCAGATTCTCCAAGAGGAAAAACTGT